ACTACTATAAGATGGCGAACAAGTGTATTTCTCCGCAGGTGAGTAGGACAAAAATATGGTCTTACTGAGGCTATGCAATCGAACGTTCAGCTGCCAAGACAATTGAAGTTTGCAAGGAAATACATAGGATGAAAAAGTAGCCATGCGACAGGCCTCTTTTCAGAGCTGCATCAACGTTTGCGCACAAACCAATACAAAACCGCTGTCCATCCACTCGGCCTCCGAGCAGAATTTTGTCATCAGTTGGTTTTTATACCTTCTTGAATTGATGATTTACTTAGTTATGATCCGGTTAAAAACGTGTTTAGACAAGAATAAGGGTGCCTGCAACGGCAACATCACACTTGGAATGAATGCTTTGACTTTGGAATGGCTGTAAAAATTTTTGTAGTTTTTACAACTGCCTTTTTAGGGACGGAACGATAATGAAGTACCACAATTTTAAGGAGCCAAACCCGTCAGGCACGGATGGCGACGGGAATCCTGAAAACTGCGCCGTGGTTAGTGGGCTTTTTTGTTCTATCGAAAGCAGCTAGAAATCTGTTATTTTCAAATGGCTTATCGCGCAAAAGAACCATCCAATGAAAGGCCATTAAACGGATTTATAACTTTCGGGTTAAAAGAAACAAGCCACTTCCAGACCATGCCGAGCGGCCGGTGGAACGATGTCTCTTGCAAGGCCGGAGTTTATCCATTTCTCGCCTCATGTTATTGCACGCTGATGATTACTACATGATCGCCGCGGCCTATCTTCACCCTCATTGCCAAGTCTAAAAAATGGACATTTGTATAAAAAGTACAGCATAATCTACATACGATCTTATGGAATTTCCGCAGACAGGCCATAACGTTCCATAATGGCCACAACTTAAAGGGCTCCGAACTGCCAAATCAAAGCCCTTTTGGGAGGCCTCTTTGATTTCTGGCAAATTGCCAGCGGGCGCTGCGGGACGAGAGACATCACTCTTTCGATTTTTGCGCGAAGTTGTTTTTGCCCGGTTTCTTTGTGAAAACACTATAATTTGGGCATTCTGAGCCCATTTTTGAAATCCTCAATCAATTTGAAATAGCTTTGGTGTTTTAAGCATCAAATTTGGCCCAGAAACAGCCGAGAACGTGATTTCGAGGTGACAACAGGCAATTTCGAATTTGCGAGCTTCCAACCCGGGGTGTACAGAGGCCTCCGACGTCCAAGGCTCCGATTTTCGGGCCGTCACTCAATTTTGACAGTTCGTAGCCCCTTTAAGGCATAACGATCATCGCTCAGCTACGTAGCTAGCAATAGATACAAAAATTTTTCTATTGACAAAAATCACCAATTTCCACAATCCAAAACGTCCAAGAACCTAACTGAAACAAGGGGCCACAGCCGCAAGTCGATGCAATTTGCTGACATGCCAAAAAATGGCCAAAAATAATGAAGATGCTGGAAAAACTATTTTCACCACCGCTCGAAGATCACTGTAGCAAAGGAGTTGCGCTTGATTTTTTGGACTCCCTGTACCACAATTGATCGATGCCGGTCAAAGCCTCGTGAAAAACAAAAATTCATTTTATCATGGTTCCACATCATAATGCGGATCTCCTGTTTCACTGCCTTCGGATATCATAGAGATGGGTTGCCTAGCAGTTGCCGAACTTCCGCGGCCACATCAATTTAAAAGTGCATTAACCAAAGTGCTCCATGAGGACTTGCCGGGAGACCAAAATTTTATGCAGGCATTATGGAAACATGCTCCGACTTCCTTCATTGATATTCTTATTTAACGGGTTTTGTGGTAGCGACGATCTTTTTACACGGCAAGCTTTATCCATCCAAGAAATCCCTACCGAAAATTGTTTGAAAAACTGTGTATTGGAAGCAAATTGCCTCGGGATTGCTGCTAGTAAGTTTGGCTCAATTTTTCATAAAATTCGGTCGGTTATTAAACAGATTTAAATAGCGAAAAATTATCTTTTTAGACGATACTTCGAATTGTATTCTCATTTCGGATTCATCAGTGATCGCCACGAAAACAAATTTTGAGTTAAACCGGAATGCCGACCTAGCGACGCTTGATATTTCTGCCTGCGCTCTTTATAATGAAACATATCAATCTACTACAATACAGATTACAACTACAACTCCAAAACTCCCCTGGGATCCTGTATTTAATGTATGAAAAATTTCGTGGAAGAGGGAAATATCTACCTTTCTAGATGAGCAACAAATACTATTATATCAGTTCGTCAACTTGTGCTTATATTTCTGTGGGTATTTTAAGGAAGACTACCAGGGTTGAAAAGCCGCTTCGCGACTTTTCAACCCTGGCCCCGTCCGAGCCCATCGCTTTGCATGCATAATTCGCCCGAATTTCGATGAAAAATAATGAAAAATGCACTCTCTCCCTTTATATAGGCGGCCGCCACTTCCGGCGTATGCTAATTAATTTCTAACAAAGAGGGTGCCGGATTTTTTAACAAAAACATAATTTTAATGTCGAAAACTACTGATTTTGTAAAATCTGATAGGCGTGCAGTCATCTCGGGGCCATTACGCGCCTAATGACGTATCATATGTAGCCTATACCCTTTCCTCTTTGAGTTATCCTCCGGACAACCTGACGGAAGTTGCATGCAAAGTGGCACACACACAGACACTATTTTTTTATATATAGTAGGATAAGCAAATTGGATACCGAAAGAAGGCCCGAAGTCGCCAAAACGGGGATGCAAAGAGCGCACATGCGCCGCGGTGCATAGTAACGCACCGGAGTCCATAGGGTCCCGGAACGACCTTGCCTTCCGTATCCTACTATAAATAAAAAAAATAGTGTCTGTGTGTGTGTGTGTCTGTGTGTGTGTGCCACTTTGCATCCACTTCCGTCTGTCTGTCCGGAGGATATCTCGATAGGGGATGAAGTTTAGGGTATGTATGATACGTCATTAGGTGCGTAATGGCATGTAGATGACTGCACGCATATGAGATTTAACAAAATCGCCTATTTTCGACATTAAATTTAAGTTTTTGTGAAAACTTCTTTGGTAGGAATAATTTGCATTGACCGGAAGTGGGAACTCGACTATATAAGAAGGCAGAAGAGGTTTTATTTCATTTTTGTTATCTGAATTCGGTGCAATTATGCAAAGTGAAGCATAAAATGGGGTCAGACGGGGCCAGGGTTGAAAAGCCGCGAAGCGGCTTTTCAACCCTGGTTGGTTTTTTAAAAATTAGGTTTAATACAATTTGATTACATTATTGGTTTACCTTTTACGTAATAGGTTTGCCAAGAACAATGCGCTACTTATGGCGTCAGTGAGCTGTCGATTCACTCATCCGAGGAGAACACGGCCTTTAAAGGTTTCTGACTTCATTCCTATATTAAGACTCTTTTATTAGCAGAATCATAGAGATTTACAAAGAATAGTTAAGTACAAAATAACAAGTTTTATTTAGAAAATATTTTTGCCAAGCTCAACTGCGGCGGCTACATGATTCTCGGGACACAGACGCCGGCTAACCGCACTATAACATGGAGGTAAAGTTTCGGGTGGATTTTTTTAATAGAAGAACCAGGGTTGAAAAGCCGCTTCGCGACTTTTCAATCCTGGCCCCGTCTTGGACCGCATGCTGTTCTACGCTTTGCATAATTGCGCTGAATTCAAATGACCAAAAAAATGAAAATGATTCGCTTGTGACCCTTTATATAGGCGACTTCCTACTTCCGGTCAATGCTAATTTTTCCTAGCGAAGAAGGTTTTACAAAAACTTAAATTTAATATCGAAAATGGCTGTTCTTTATAAATCTGATATGTGGGCAGTCATCCCTAGACCATTACGCAGATAATGATGTATCGTACCCACCCCTAGCTTCTTCCCCTATAGAGATACGCCTGGAACAACGCTACGGAAGTGGATGCAAAGTGGCGCACACACACATACACTGTTTTTTTTATATATAGTAGGATAGTAGGATCTCAATCATCTTGTCATTTTTTCTAATAAAGTTTTTAGTGACGGCACCCCATATAACTACTCGAATTGGGACCCCGGGAGTCCTTCGTTTTTCAGTGGCTGGGGAAATCCTGAAAGTTGTGGCACGGTGAGTTTTGAGTTGTTAGTTTCATGCAAATGAGACGTTTTTCAGTGATGTCACGTGTTTAGCAGAATAAAGGTTATCTTGTGGTTTGCGCTGAATCCTGATCCGTTTTCCTAATTTGCTTAACTGGCACTTAGAAGAAGGCATAAAGCAATATAGCGCTCTGATAGATCATTCGGTTCTGGTTGGTTACGGGGGGGGGCTGAATGTAGCTGTCATTTCATGTAAATGCCGATTAAGCAAATATGGGATAAGTCGGAATCAGCGCAAAATTCTGCCCAACCTGCTCAAAACTGTGAAGTGACTGAAAACGTCTCCTTGTTAGTTGATTAGGTGCTTTAGCAAGCGAGATTTCTAGGTGAAGCGCTGCTTCTCATTATGATTTAAATGCCTTTAGCTGCAGACTGACGGGACCTGGAACGACGTGTCGTGCGATCATACGGTATGGGGGCAACCAGTCGTTTGTGTTTGTACGCAAACGTTATGAACTGCTACTTATTGCGGTTTAACTTCTCTCTCTCTCTCTCTCTCTCTCTCTCTCTCTCTCTGTCTCTCTCTCTCTCGCTCTCTCTCTCTCTCTCTCCCTCTCTCCCTCTCTATCTCTCTAGCTCTCCCGATAGATTTTTTTACGTTATATTCGTTATTTTTTGTAATAGCCAAATAAGCACATTCCAATTTATTAATGACCTACACAAACATAATCAATTTCGTTATTTCTGAAAGCCAAAGCAAATGATGTGTGGGGGGGGTGTGATTTGTCTTTTGTACCAATAAATAGGATACAAAGAGTGGAAAAACGGAGTGCGGGTAAGGCCCAAAAAATCACGAGTTACAAATAAGTTATGTTCAGGCGACCAGAAAATATACAGAAAAGACGAAGACAAAGAAGAATTGAGTCCAAGTTGAGGCCCATGTTCTCTACCCGGTGACCTGATCATAGTAGTCGACGTTGCCGTCGCGCGACTCTTCCGTTTTCACCTGAATTTTTGAGGTGAAAATCCACGTGTTTTTTTAAGTAATCAACGTTTCAATAAAACATGTATCGATATTAAAATTTAGCAGGAATTGAAGAATTCGCGCAAATTTTCGATGAAAAGCTTCAAAACTAAGCAAAATAGTATTATCTTTATTTTTAACAAAATAATCTCATTTTGCCGTATATTTTGCCATGTTTTTAACGCTTGATAACAGCGGTATAAAATGTATAAAAAATAATCTTAAAAATTAAAGAAAGAACTGTATGAAAACTATATAAATTAAGCGTAAAATACGACCAATTATACTGAAAGCTTTTGACTAGCTTACCTGACATTTCGTGCCGTAGCAATAATCGACCGATATTCGCAAGCGATCTTTCTCAAATGACACATCAACAGACTGCTGGTCAAAGTCGAAAATGATCGGGAATGCGATTCCCTGAATTCGCAAGGATTAGCCTTATACCCTCAGAAAAGGAATACCTTCATCTTCTCCGCCATCTCATCATTGAGCACCAGCTCTATTAAGGCGTTGACGAGAAATTCAAGCGAGTTGGCGTCAATACCATCAACGCTTGAGGTGACCTGGAAATGTAGAGACGTCAATCGCAAATTTAAAGGGATTGTGAAGGCAGAACGCGGCTGTCGATCCGCCCATTATCAGACTTTAGTATGCGTTGCGGATGTCTAAAGCTTCGGAAAAATGGATATCTGATCGACCGTAGCCATGTCTTGCTTTGAGGTGCGCGCAAAGTTAACAGGCTTACATCGGTCAGCTTGAACTTGTCGATCCTGAGCTTTGACTTGAACACGTAGTCCTGGAACTTTGGCTCGTCGTACTTCACCTCAGCTGCCATGTTGCATTGCAGGAACCGGCGGGTTCGCTCTGTTTGCTAAAAGCAAATTTTGAAATCGAGAAATTCACAGAAAATCGCCCTGAATTTCAATAAAAATTAAGATGAGGTTTTTATCTATCAAAAATCGCATTTATAGCATCTAATACATTTGTTTCCCGGTCTCTGTGAAGCCCACCCACCTGCACGTAGGCGTCAATCTTGGTCTCCACGAAGACTCGAGCCTTTCCCTCTGTGATAACCACTTTCGGATATGAAGAGGTATGGGACTTGATGACTACCATTCCATTCGGGAAACGTTCTTTTAGCGCTAAACCCAGAATGTTACGGTAAGTGTCAACGAATTCTTGCCCGGAAATATGGTCCCAGCACAAATATCATCCTTTCCGCAATCTGTCCTCAAATAACCGGCCAGGGCCGAATTGTTCTGCGCGGTTTTCGAGATCTCGTAGTCGAACTTGCTAAAAATACATGGTTTTAATCGCCTCAAAATCTGGATTCCAGTACTCAGCGCCGATTACGTTATCAAAAATTACCGGTATTGGTCCATCCAAAACAGCAAACTGCTCAAGGTGTAATTTCCGATAACGATATCAACCATCCTTCCAGAATCCGTCTGAGGATCAAGAGGTCCGGCCCGGAATGGTAGTCGGAAATCGTTCAGGCGGGTTCTTCCTGAAAATTGCTGAATTTTACGCTAGCTCTGACGTCACAATTTTTTTGATTTACACTCAGACAAGGTTACTTACCTTGTCTCAAGATCCCGAACGCATTTCCTCTATGTTTCATCATAATCTCGCCGTCTTCGAATTGAACCGGTGCTAAAAGAATTATTCAATTAACAACTTTGTAAACACAAAGGCAACAAAACGATTATTACAATATTCAGTCTGTTTTTACCTAACAATCCATAGTTCATAAAGAATTGATCGAAAAGTGACGCGGAAAGAGGAGTGTTGAGCAGCCTATTCGAGATGACGGGCACTAGCTCCGCGTGGAACGTTGGGCAGAGGACCTAGAGATATAAGGGTTTTTGCTAGTAGGAAATCAGCTATCGTAACAAAATATTCAATTAAATAGCATACCTGATCCAGATTCTGGTTCAAATTCTCCTGTACAACGCCCCAATCCTCGCCGAGTTGGGCAATGTCGGTGCTGGCGAGTTGGAGGGAGCCGGAACCGCCGGAAACCTGGAATTTAGTCGAATTAAAATTGGAACTTAGCAATATCATAAATCTAAGAAATTAAGCTCAATAACAAAAAACATATTGATAAGCTTTTGCATACCTTGCAAGTCACCAAGTCGGTCTTCAGATGACCGTCAGAATTCAGGCCTGTCCATAGTAGGAACTCGACGTCTGCGCTGTAACAAAGAAATTATGATTGGAACATAAGGTGCACATCGTGCACTGGGGTAATTAGCAGAGGTTCTTTGGGGATTTTAGATATGTCTATCGATAGTTAAGGCCCAAAACCAACTTTTCTATCAACATCGGAGCGGTTCCTAACAATTCTCCTGCTGCCGTCTCGATCGTGAACGTCGTCTGCACGGTCAGGTTGAGGTTTTTGCCCTAAAAATTCGGATCAAACTTGTATTTTGGTGTAAGCGCAGGTATAACAGCGGATTTCCAATACCTACCGTCCACAACAGCCCCTTACCGGCCTGGGACTCGAGCCTTGATTCGAAAGTCTTCTCCTCAAACTCCTCCAACTTCTCGGCCCGCAACGACATTTTCGTCTGCAAGCAAAGGCCTAATATGGAAAATTGGCGAACACAAACCGACTTCAGGGCTTATCGTTGACGTGACGTTGAAGGACAGGTCGCCGGCATGGAGAAACCGGATCACTCGGTCTTTTAGGTAGTCGGCCATCAGGTCGAGGCCCTGAAAAATGGGTGGTCAATTAAAGGTATCGGTCATAACAATTTATCTCTCTTTCTCTCTGATTCTCTCGCTCTCTCTCGCTCTCCCTCTCTTTCTCTTTCTCTATCTCTCTCGCTCTCTCTTTGTCTCTCCCCCGCTCTCTCCCGTGCTCGCCCACTCTCTCTCACTCGCTCTCTCTCTCTCTCTCTCTCACTCTCTCTCACTCTCCCACTTTCTCTTTCTCACTCTCTCCCCCTCTCTCTCTCTTTCCCACTCTCTCTCCTCTCTCTCTCTCTCTCTCTCTCTCTCTCTCTCTCCCTCTCTCTCTCTCTTGAAGAAGTTTCCATTACTTACCTTTTGGTTTATCCGGGTGTAAAAGCCAGGGTTCGTCCCGGCCTCCGCGAAGAAGCCATCTAAAAAATTTTTTTTAGTGTTACTTTTGCGTTTATTCCATCTATAGACTATCTTTCAAGCCTATTTAAATTCATAAAATCCATTAAAAAACTTACTTGCGATGCTCTGACTCCGTACCGTCCCCAAGCAGAGGAGCAGTGTCACATAGAAACAACAATCTGGCATCGCGCCCGCTGGCGCGAGTCTTTTTGATACGCCAGACACTGCAATCCTGGAAAACGGGAGAGTTTAAATGAGACTGGATTGGAGCAAGAGCGTTTTGAGCATCAGAATCACGAAAAAACATGGAAAATCCAGAAAAAAGCGCAAATACATAGCCATAAAACTCTAAAAATGTGTTAAATTTGCACAATTGTTAGAAAATTGACGTTTTTAAGGTAAGGAATGGCCTATGAAAGCACCAAAATATATAAAATGATGGAAAACTGATTCAAAACAGTAGTTTGGAACAGAATATAAAGGCTAGGGAAGATCAGCTACTCAGAGGGTCAATTAATAAATCTGAGACGGAAATTGCGAAACAACGTTCGAGAAAATGCGTACACTTTTTCTAGTGTTCCAACCACAGCGTACAAACTTTTCGTTTCACTGAAACAGCACCTCGGCGAACCGCCACCACAGCACCGTGTGTTTGGCCTTCGAAAAACAAGACTCGCTTCTTCTGATTTCCGGTCTACTCTCCCCCGAGGAGTTGAGGCGGGATAGAGTGAGCAGGGTGTGGGGGGATGGCTCGGCTCAAGGTCTCCTTTCGCCAAAAGCTAGCCCTCGAGGCATATTTTGAAGCCGACGATGAAATGGGCACGGGATACGGGAATTTTCCCTGAGCTTGTCCTTTAAAAAGGGATGAGACCTAGGGATGAACGTACGTACAGTGAAAGATGAACGCCGGGAGAAAAATGACTGGAAAAAGGTACGAAACAATAAACAGCGAGAGATCGAAACAAAGAAGGGGAGTATGATTGAGGGCGATCGGAGAAAATGGCTCGAACGCTACAGCGGAATTTCCAATTTAATCGAGAAAATAGGATAGCGTCGACGTTTTAATACGAAATCAGAAAAAACGTCAATGGAAACGTATGGGTTGTAAAATCTTAAATTTCAGAGGGAGGTCGCAATGCTTGTCAATGCATAAATAATATCCCCATGATCTTCTTCAAATGATAAACTATTGGCAAAAGAAACCCGAGTGAAATCGCGTCAGCCTGCGTTCTAAAGGGGCTAGGACACATGAGGAGCGACGTTTCTCTGGGCTAGGTGTCGACAGCGAGGAGCCACGTGACGAAAAAAACATGCAAAAATTGCTTTTCATGGCCCCGTAAGATGCCAGATCAGAGCCAATAATGTATGTAAAGTTGCGTATAGTCTGGCTGGCTGTGGCCGGTTGATGTCGAGACCTAGGAAAACCCAGGGGTCGATTGAAGCGCTTCCCCGTTTCTTTAAAGGGCACGTTCAGGGGCGTTTTTTTTTGGAAAAAGCAAAGATTTTTGCTGCGGCCGGGGGTCGAACCCGGGCCCGCCGCTCGGGAGGCGCGGATGGATACCAGTCAGCCACAGCTACAGCCTGGAGCGGGGGCGAGGGGCGCCCCACGCCGCAAAGGATGGGAATCGCCTGTCACAGCACGGGCAGACAGTGCGCGCGCTCCCTACGTCCATAGGGTGTATACGTTGGATCGAGTATACGGCCCCTCCCTGAACGTGCGCTTTAAAGGAATGGGCAAGGCGTGGCTATGGATTTTAGCACCTCCGAGAAACGCACAAACCGTTTTGTTACCAAAAGGCCGCTTTAACCGTTTGCGCGTTGGAATAAAAGGCTTGCGCTTGGCGTGCCCTGAGCGGGCAAAATCAAGAAAAGGCCCATAGTCAAGAAATTCGATTGTTCTGCTTCGTTCGGTTCCTTTTAAACGACAAAAAGAGCAAAATAACTTTCTGCTTCCGCATAGCACAGATCTTTGAATTTCCCCTCCTCAAAAATTCCTCGATCCCAAGGCCAGCTCCTGGTATGCAAAATCAGCGCCCGCATTCCTGAGGAAAGGACACCCACTCGTTATTTTTGTGATTGAAAAGGGCATTGGCATTGTCGCGAGAAGCAAACCCGGAGAGAAAGAGAGCGAGAAAATTGTTACGCTTCCCCTCACTTTCGCTTCGGGAGCCCCGAGAACCTGCGGGCGGGAGGAAGGAAGGAAGGGAGGAGGACGACCTGGACCGGTTTCGTTTGTTTTAGAAGAATAAGCAACCTCGAGCGGGATCGTTGGTCGGCCACAGAACGGACGACGGTGAGATACTACGAATTTGGGAGGGTAAGGGTAAGGGGGCGTACAGTACAGAAGGCCAGGCAGCAAACTACGAGTATCAGGGTTAATGTACAGAAAAAAGGAAAGGGCGAAAAGATACGCTACATCTTTAGATACCCTCTTTAGACCCTTTTTGGCAAAGGGATAGTCGGTACTAACGGTATGAAATCGCTAGCCAAAAAGCACGAATTTGAAAAGATTCTGGACCATCGAAAACACGAATAAATAACAAAATCAAAACGTGAGATTTTTTAAACATTCGGGCACCAGAATACGTGTCGAACTCGGCAATGTAAAAATTAGCACGCTAATGCTTGAATTTTCATTTCGTCAACAAGCACGAAAACTTAGATTAAAGGTTCCGGGAAGCCCCAGAATCGACTCATCGTGGACTAGGTCACGACAACCCGGCAACGCGCACAGACGCTAAACTAACTGATCCAGATTTTGCCGACGCTTTTGTTTTTGAGATTTTTCTAGCGGATTTTAGGATTTTTTTTAGCGCGAGAATTCGTTTTTTTTGCGTTTTTCGTAGATGGGCAGACCTAGCCAAATGGGTCGTCGATTAAGCACCTTCCCAGTCTTTTTAATGAGGTAAAAGCGAATCAGCCTTCTTGAAAAATTCAAAAAGTTGGACTGGTTACTTAGAATTAGTTACATAGGATACCTAACCCTACGAGTATGCCAGAAAGTTCCCGGCAGAACACCGGGAATAACAAAATCAGAGCGGATGGCCACAGCGTCGACCAATTCTAGTTTTTCTGTGGATATGAAAAAGGCTGTGCATCCATTTTTGAGAGGTGTTTAGTCAAAAAATTCAGAGGACCATGAAACCCGGTTTGAAATTTGGAGCAGGGGTTGACAACGGTTCCAGTAAATTGGCCCAAAATACAGTCAAGTGAACCCACATCGAAAGTGGACAACTTTCACTGGTTTAACCTGCGCGACCAGGCCAAAGCGAATTCGATCTCGGGTCAAAAACGGGTGGAGGAGGAGGGGTTGAGGTGCGCAGCAGAGCCCAACGACACCGGGGGTGTCGTTGGGGGCGGGAATGGGGGAAAACGAGCTTCTGCCCCCGATACCCATTCCAGCGCCCCTGCCCTGGAAAAAGCTGGAGGAGGAGGTTGAAGAGCACGAGGATGAGAAAGAGCGTGAAAATGGGGAGGGGAGAAAGAAGGGCTGGAGCCTGAGGATTGTCGAGTCGAGACTGTGGGTGGGAACGGGGCTTGGTATTGATTATACAGTGTGGATGGGTCCGGGAAGCTTGGAAAAACGCTTAAAAAATCGAGAATCAAAGAGTTGCAGCTCTCTATTCCGCTTTCACGACCTCTCTCCTTCCTCTCTCTCTCTCTCTCTCTCTCTCTCTCTCTCTCTCTCTCTCTCTCTCTCTCTCTCTCTCTCTCGCACGCTCTCTCGTTCTCTTTCAAATGAAAAAAATAATGGAGCCACAGACCGTAAGGATGAGCTCCAATTCAAATTTTTCCAGCTTTTCCAAGCCCATCAAGTTCGCGGCTTCTCCTTCACGACCTTGACAGCTGTGATTTCGGCCCTGAGCCGCTCAGAAGAAGAAACGTGTCTAGATTGTCTAGAACTTACTCATCTCCCCAAAAATGTTCCGCCTATTACCCCGCCCCGTAAAAAGCTGTAATCGAATTACCAGACGATGGATCGATCGAAAAGTCAGATTAAATCGAGAAGCTACATCAAGATGTTGAAAATTATAAGTTCCCGCGTCGCGTTAACAAGAATGAAACTGGCGCTCATCGATCTTTGTTTCGGTTTTCGGGGGGTGTAAAGTGCGGATGTGCTAGGTGGACTTGGTATCGATGGTCGATCGTGTGAGAGGGAGCCGAATGTGGAAAGACAGAATGAATGAAGTATGGGTGAGAATTCGAAGATTTTATTAAGGGGAAAGAGATAGAGAGAGAGCGAAAGAATGAGAGAGAGACAGAGGGAGAGAGAGAAAAAGAGAAACAGAGCTAGAGAGCGACAGACCGAGAGCGACGGAGGGAGAAAGAGTGAGATAGAATGAGAGAGAGTTAGTGAGCGGAAACTGAGAACGAGTTAGAGTGAGAGGGAGAGCGAGCGTGAGCAAGAGCGTGGGAGCGATAATGAGAGAGCGAGAGAAATAAGTGAAAAATAGAAAGTGCGAAAGCTCTACGCTCTACTCAACAAATCGGCATACACAAAAAACGACTAAACTTTTTTAGAATAGATCAGAAAATCCGCGCTTCGAAACTAGGAAAGGCCTGAACGGTAGAAATAAATTAAAGCGCGAGCTCACCGTCAAAAATACCAGAAATCGATAGCCTTAAGATACCGTAAACACCCAAAAAACCCGAGTGAAAACCTTGACCAGCCCCCGAACGTCACCCCAGCGTGAGATCATCTCCCAGCGTCCAGATCCCAAAGAGGAGCCGCCCAAAAATTTGAATAAACGTGAATAGGCAGGGGGGAGGGATTCTGCAGACTCTAAAACGACACAGAGAGGGATTTGAGGCTTTGAAAAGGAGGAGCTCTGGGCTTTCACCGGAACGGGATCTCCCCCACTTTTCAAGGCCTATGGGGGGTAGAAGCCCGATGGCTGTGGTTCGGGATTATCTATCGTCCCGGGGCGTTCCCTCACGGCGGATATTATCCACCCCTCAAACCCGATCCCGCCGGTTTTCACCCCATCCCCCTTGCTACCAGAAGACTCGTTTTGAAGATTGGAAGCTCAAGAAAAAATTTCAATTTTTGTTCACAAGTGTTTTGGGAGGAAGGCTAGATGTAAGCCGAAAAATATGTCTCTTGCCGTGCCAGTGGATAAAGGTTGTGTCTTTTAGGGAATTTTGGGAGTAATTTTGGGAGTATTGCGGATTTCGCTTTTTCTACGTTTTGTAGTTGACATAACAAATTCTCCGCCTTTGAAATCGCAGTTTAATCCTAAAATTTGATGCGTTTGAACCACGTTAGATTTTTGTTCGTATCATTCGTAAAATACAGAGAATTCTAAATTAGAGAATATAAAAAATTGCCGTAGCGGAAGGGCGTAACTTAATAAGCGCATGCTTAAATATTATTGCCGTGATTGTCTAAAAAAGTCCAACATTGAGACGTCGCCAAGAGGATCTTTGCTTGCATTATTTATATGGAAGGCGCTGGAGAAAATAAACATCATAAGCGGAAACCGAGGTTGTCGACAAAAACAAGCTATTTGCATGGAAATGTCAACACAAACACACGCCAAGGAAAGGTCAAAGCGGAATCGCACTTTTTGGTCTGCTGATAGCCTTCCAACTGATCCGCATAAAAAATTGCACCGCCTCGCCAGGATTTGCGACTGTTTGGGGAAATGGCGTTGCATGCCTGCCTGGGTGTGTGGATGTGTATGTGTGCAGTGTGAAGATCCAGTTCTTCCTTATTAGCCTCCCTCCCTTTCCTCCTCTTTCTGGAGCCATAGCCTTCCCTTCTGCCAGCCACCACCACCTCTATCCACACACCTGCGAGCTTTTGGGAAAAGTTGTGGATTTTTAGGAAATCAGGAAATGGCTTGGTGTGTTCTGGAAACTTGCAATTGCAAGGACTACGTTCGTATTAATTAATATGGAAAAATTTCTCGGGTTTTTGTGATTGTCACCATCCCTTTAAACTGAATGAAAATTGAACGTTTCCGAGACAATACCCATTCGAAACTGACCGCTAGCTGAGTCACCATAGAACCCCCAATTCTCACTCACTTGACCTGCAATGTCTCAAAATATCATCTTTCCCCAATTTTTCACTCTCCCACGCCCTACTGTATCCCTAAAATGAGTCAACCCCCGGCGGTCAAGCGAGAGCTTCTCTCTATCTCTCTCTCTCTCCCTCTCTCTCTCTCTCTCTCTCTCTCTCTCTCTCTCTCTCTCTCCTTCCTCAATTTTTGGCACACTCGACTCAAAAAACGGGAGCAAATTTGCCGGCTGATGACCACACCTCACCAGCAGCCGTTGTCTGTTTGAACTCCGGTTCAGAAAAGCGGCGGACAGAGACTGACTAGGAGGGGCGCTTTTTAGAAAATTGGTCACTCTTCCCGGGGCGGGTGTGTAAATTGGTTCGTGACGTAGCTGAAGGAGGTGGGGATGGGAAGATCCGAAATTGAGATACAGGCTGGAGGAAGGGATGGGAAAAAATTGGAGGAGAGCCCAAAAATATTAAGAATTCGAATTGAAAGCAATTGAAAGGCCAGATGGGTTTCAAGTGGGAAAGCCGGTAAATATTATCCAGAGATTGAATTAAAATTTGAAATGAAATAAATGACATTACCAATTAAAAAATTTGTGCGAAAATTTACATAAACGCGTAACTTTCTGCCGTAACGTCTTCTCAAGCAACCATCTACTAAGAAGAGTGCCTGTTACTTTTATTAAAGTGCTTTTAATGGTGTGGCTGTGTACTTTTTTTTTTTGCCGAGCACGATACACGCTGCATGAAATCAGCGACACACGCAAGTGGCGGATTGCAGCGATGTAAAAACCTGAGCCGATCCATAAGAATCGAAATCCATCTCCATGTCTGCCCCGGCCCTTAAAGGAACGTGCAAGGCAGGATTTTCCAATGGATTTTCTATCGGTGGGCTCAGTCTGGGTCACGCGACCCGCAACTTGTCCACAAAGCATTAAAAAACCAGGTAAGACTCCAGATACCCCCCCCCCCCCAGCCGGCACCCAACTTCTGTATCTCGGCTCCCTGTTCATCTACAGGTGTGTAAAGTATACCAAAATGTTCGTCTTGCTGTGGCGAGTATTTTGGTATACTTTACACACCTGTAGATCAACAGGGAGCCGAGATACGGTAGGTGGGGGTCGGCTGGGGGGGGGGGGGTTATCTGGAGTTTAGCCAAAAGCCAGGAGGGAAAATGGAACTCTACAACATCTGACTAGCCGGCCACGCTATAGCTGGAACCTCTGGAAAATTATGCCACATTCCTCATTTTCATCCAGGCATCAAAAGCCCCTCTCCAAACCAATTATTCATCCGCACCACACCCTCACGCCCTCTCTCCAACGCATCCCACGCTAAAACAATCAGATTCCACCCTGGAATTTACCTTCTCCACTAAATTCCAATGCCCACCTGGCTGACTCATTATTTCTCCAAAATTTTGTGACGTGTCCAGAGGACTGAGGCGGAAAGGTGTCTTGGAGGGGGACTAGTGAAAATAGAGGGCCCAGGGTAATGGCAAATATTTAGTCGATTCGCTCGAGTCAAGGCAGGTCGGACTGGGGTACAAATAGCCCCAGTTACCCACCTGTTGGAAAGAACAACTCACCAACAAGGAGTTCGACTTCGAGGATTCGAATTTTGATAGTGATTTATTATTTTATTTTACTAGACGATGATGTGGAACGTCGTTTCCGTACTTGTTGCCGTATCAGGTTCGCTTTAGAAAAATATAAAAATTATAGCCAACTATTTTATAGCATTAAGAAGTAGTTTTATTAATATTAAATTTTAATGATGCCATTTTTGTTTCTTTTTCAATATAACATTAATAGCCAGCATTCAAGCTATCGTGTCAGCGCGCATTCGGTTAGAGAAGTAAAACAAGGAAACCTGCAATCGCCCAGTTACTTTTATTTTTGTTATCTCATAGTTGTGCAAAATAGTCCTTATTTATAGGGCCCAATAACAGCATGCCTAATTAAAGAATTTGAGCTCCTTCTTATTTTCTTAAAGCTACGATTCCTGAAACAGAATTTTACCCGAAATTTTGCTATCGGGTTATAAAAAAACGAGGGAAACAAGCCAGATTTAACTATGGAATTAGGGTTATCCATTTTCGTTCATACCGAACAATTCCCACTTCCAGGTATTTCCGCAGTCTCAATCGGCGGAGGAGCAGTTCCGGGTTGTCAGCCTTGCCGTGATGCCCAAAGCCAGTGGATGAACTGGGGCGAGTGGAGCACGTGCCAGCAGAACACGTATGGAGGTAAGCAATGGAGAATTACGAAGTTCTTACATACGTTACAAGTTTCTTACGTTTTTTTTTTATTTTTGCAACCGACTAACTTACTTACGTTTCTTTTTGCAGCTTTTCTAGGCTCGTCTATAAAACCCTTGTTTAGTCGCCTCCCAAACCCGTACACGGCAGTGCTCCGGAACGAACTGTCAGGGTGCTGCTGACGAATCGAAGCAGTGCCAAATTTACAGGGATCCTGTGCCCGAATGGAATCAATGGGGAGCTTGGGGTACTTGCAGGTAGCTTTATTGAACAACTACAGCTCGCTTCCATCTACCTCTCCCTCTCTCAGCCTCATCTCTCTCTCGCTCTCTCTACCCAAGTACAAAATATGTGCCAACCCATGCCCATTTTAGTGCTTCCTGCGGTGGAGGGGTTCAAGTGCGAACGCGAACTTGCAACACCCACTGCAGCTCGTGTACTTGTCAAGGGCAAGCCACACAGGAACGACAGTGCAATCAACAGGTCAGTTTTGGGCTAGTGAAAGCCAAAGGAAAATGAGCGGGGTAACAGGGACTATTCAATAATTTTTCAAATTTTATACAGAACTTATGAACCGTATTTAGGCATGCTGCAACTGGTCTGCATGGACGGAATGGTCGGGTTGCTCTGTCACTTGCGGAAACGGAATCTCGACTCGTAGTCGAGCGTGCAGTTGTGCTGATAACTCGGTAACTTCTTTCGAATTTGAATGATTACCTACAGGGTGTCCCAAAAAAAACCCCCCCTACCTAGCGGTCCGCAGTCGATTCCGATTTTAACGATTTAGGTATCTATCGAAAGCTCTCGAAAAGGCGAGAAAACAAGGAGGGTTGAATTTCATAATGAAGCCTTTTTATTTGCTAATTTTATGTCCAAAAACCATGAAAACTGCTGATTTATGCGAGATCTGCATGCTAATTGCGAAATTCCTGATGAAAAATTCCCGGCTTTTTAGGAAAACCTGAAATATCGATAGAAACAGATTATATCTTAGAAAACGAAACCCGCTTGTTTTCTCGCCTTTTCGAGAGCTTTCGATTGGTATAAAAATCATTCCGATCCGATCCGATTGACGGCCTCTAGAGGGGGGGGGGGGGGGGGTTTTGGGACACCCTGTATACTATAAGTTCTTACGCTGAATGATACCTTTTAGTGTCCCGGCTCCTCAATCGACCTGACCGATTGTAACGCTCGAGTACCGTGCCCAACCTGCAATACCTGCTATCAGGCACCTCAACCAATCGCACCACCACCGTGTTTGGCGTGTCAACAGGTAACATTTATGGTTGACTGTATAAGCATTCTCGCATTCGCACATTGGCGCATTAATAGAAAATAAAACAAACGCATAGAATTTTTTGATTTTCTTTATTCTTAATAGCGCTAGTCGCTGTTTTCTTTTTTTTTAGAATCTTTTCTTTAAGGGGACGTGCAATGCACAACCCTAGATAGATTGTTGCGCGTATGGTTTCCATATATTTTGCTGCGCCCGCGGACTGGCCGTAATTCATTACGCAATCGAAAGAAGCGGTCTTTTAACATGGATTTAACGCTCGGATACCTGGTTTTCAATACGTATCCTTCCGGAAAATTGGTTCCAGTTTAATCTTAATTTTCTCCAGTCCCAGCCCGTCATCTGCAACACTTGCGGCTACAAACGAATCCGAAAGGCGATTGCCGAAGTCCGAAATGCCACTATCATCGAAAAACCCTCAATTGCTGCTCAACCATAAACAAACGTGTAATAAATTTATTTTATTTTCCTGCTTTGAACATTTTGAATCAAACACAACAACCAGAAAAGTATAGATAAAAAAGTCACAATCCAAGAGACAGGAGCGGCACCCGGGCAGTTTTTGGACCAAAGCTGGAATTGGGGGGAAAGATGGGGGATAGATATAAATAAAAAACAAAAATTGAAGCATCATTTAAATACCTGATGTTGCGGATGTCATTAATACGCAAAAATAAATGGTTAGCTTAAGCGGAACCCGTAAATTTCGATTTTTAAGGTCAGCTTTAATGGATAAAATAGAATATTTTAAGCCCGATTTTGTGAAACGAATTGAGGTAGACATTCCGCGAGCGTTTGAACGTTGTCTTCCAATGCACCGTACACCCGCTCGGCCAGAATTCGGTGTTTTTCCTCTTCTGGGGATAAGCCGTCCATGGTGTCCATCACCCGACCGATGAACACAAAATGGGTAGTCTGGGCGACGAGTTGGATACGGTAGGCGGCTTCGAGCTAAAAAAAATCGAACATTGAATGATTTTTGATGTCTCACTTCCCCTTTCTCTCTCTCTCTCTCTCTCTCTCTCTCTCTTTCTCTCTCTCTCACTCACTCACTTTCTCCCTTTTTCTCTCGCTCGCTCTCTCTCTCCCTCTCTCTCCCCCCTCTCTTTCTCTCTCCCTCTCTCTCCCTCTCTCTCTTGACTCCCTCGCTCTCTCACAATTTTTTCTCTCGCTCGATCTCTCTCTCTTTCGCGCTTTCTCTGTCTCAATCTCTCGCTCGCTCTGCCTCTCTTTCCCTCTCTCTCTCCCTCTCTCTCTCCCACCTGCTCTAACGTATACGGCACTGGTATCCGCATCTGGATACACCGTTCCTCGACCATCTGATGCAAAATAGGCAGCATCTCCTTTTCCACTTTTCGCCTCATTTCCGTATCGCAACAGAATACGAATAAATGGCAAATGTCTTCGGCTGGATTTCCTGGAATAAACTTACGATTTATCTAGAGGACGGCTAGCAGAGATATTTGCGAAATTCCGACCGCCAAATTCAGACATCTTTTTAGTCAAATTTTTATTTTAATTTTGATTATTTGCATCCCCAAAACCCACCGTGGTGCACATTCTGCCAATCCAACAGGGCGGATAATTCCTTTCCCTGGCCATTCTGTTCCCCTCGACTCCACAGGAAATTATAGGTCCACATGTCGCCATGGCAAATCACGTCGGGGATTTCTGAAAATTCGCTTGGTTCTTGGGACTTCTGAATCACGACAAACCTAATTTCCTGTGCGCTATCCGGAGTACGTAGTCCCAGAACTCGCGGCTCTTATAAAGGTGACGCATTTTCTCGAACATTTCCGTCATCCCGGGGTGTAGCGTGGTCCAGGTACTTGCCGGCTCCTCCATTTGGTAAAAAATTTGCATGTACCTAAAAAACGATGTTGAAACGGGCCGTCTTGGTTACATTTAAGCCCCTAAAACGCCAGGAAACTGATGAATATAAATTTTCTTAGATTCGAGGTTGCCAAAAAGGCATTTTCAATAGGCTTAGGGGTGCAATTTCGTACATATTTCGTCGATTAAAGTTTGGCAAAAAGGAAAAATTAAAGGCATGGTAATAGATGATTTATTATGGTAATGACTTTACGACCCTTTCAAAGTAACGGTTCTAGCACTTTCCGCGTTCTTCGCTCGAATCTAACGAAGTCCCAATTAAAAGGGGTTTACAAAAATTTCTAAAGGGGCAGTGACAGTAACTTCATTGGATTTTAAAGTTCAACGGAAATTCGGTGGGCAAATCGGGCCATGGATCCACGTTTTTTCCAAAAACGTTCTAAAAACGCTACCAGCTTCAAAATTTCTATAGAAACTGACCCGTCAGAAACCCGTATTTCTGGAATCGGCTTTCCGGCTAACCCGTAGACTTGGATCCATGCGATTTGCGAGATGATTTCCAGGAGCTGAAAAATGCTAATATTTTTATGTTGTTTGGCGTTTACAGTACTATAACGCACTACGTATTAAATTGAAAAATACCATTTTGATCCACATGCAAGCTCTAATTTCTTACCTGAGAGTTATTCAACCCGTTATAAATATCGCTTGGCTCGGCCTCGGAAGATAAATCGCGCATAATCACCGCTCCACAAGCCCCGACTTTACCGTATTCCCATTTTTCGATGGCGTAAGCGGTGGCTTTCTGAAGAATATAGCTAATTTTTGTGTTAAATAAATGTAAAGATACCTTAATCTCAGGCCAGTCTTCCAGAATCTCATAGAAAGCACATTCGCGATTAAAATATTCGGCGATAAATCGATAGAGGTGGTCGCTCTAAAACGCAAGGTAATTTTAGGTTAGACAAATTGTAACTAACCCCATTTTCCCTCATAAAATATCTAACTTTCTCGCCGCACATTAGAACCATGGAATGGGTAATGGTGTGAAGTTCAGGGATCTGAAGATAGATAGATATGTCTGTCTCTCACACACTCTCTCAGGCTCCCTCTCCGCTTACCTTAACAATAATCGGTATCCTACTCCCATCGTCTAATCGGGCGATAAGTCGTGATATTTGAGAGATGAAGCCCATGGAGCTTTGCGCGGCTTCATTTGGAACGAGCTGAAGATTTTATAAATAATTTGCTATATTTTCTGTCTCTATATCACTCGCGCTTTCTCTCGTTTGAAAGCACCTAGTTTTGGAACTTCAGGAAAAGAAGCTCACCTCCTTTATCGTCCTCCCTGGATGCTTCCTCAAAAATATTTTAGATCCAAAAATGAGCTGTCGTATCCGAGCCACCGGCAACGTCAACCCGTTGGTGCCGATGCTCAACGGCGTGGGTTCCATAGCATTGCCCACCGCCAGTTTTGAACCTGAAAAATATATTAAATTAATGTATTCAATTGACAAGAGAAAGAATGGGAAAGCGTAAGCGAAAACAAGAAGGAGCACGACGATGAAAACCAACATGAGAAATCAGACGAGCTATCGAAATTCGAGAAAATTCCTTTCTGAGCACTTTTCACAAAAATACTCGAAAGGGAAGAAATCTTTTGGACCGAATCTTCGCCTTTTTTGCAAAATCCATCAGTCGTGTTGAACTTTTGGGATTGGGATAGGCCATTGAGAGAGAACGAAAAACCGGCGAACCGGTTGGGAGCAGAATCCAAAACGTCACAAACGAGCAAAAAACGGGGAAACGACATGATCGAGCACGAAAGGGAAAAATGTCTATTTATTGAAAGCTTCTAGAAAGAATTTGATTACGCTAACGCCTTGGAATATGGGAAATTTGTCTTTTTCGGCTATAGGGAGTGAATTTCCCAATTTTATAATGCCCCGTAAAGACTCAAAATTGGGGGTTGTGAAAAATCTTCGAAGACATTTTGGTTCGATGCTCTGAAGGCGTGGGCGGAGGAAACTGGTGTTTAACAGAAACCAATCGGGTACATTCAAAAACAGTGGTAAATAACTTGACAACCAGCCAATTTTAGCAATGGTAATAAAAGGAAGATTTGCCCGGGCAACAACCAAAGATTCGCTTATCTGAATGTATGGTTATACCTAGTTACACGCGCATTGAGGTTGCACTTTGTAGGCTAGCTGGTCACGGTAATACGTTGAAAAACTAGCTTTTGCTAAATTAAACCTTGCCCCACCTGTCATGCGACTGATTTTAGCCCATTTCGACCTGACCGGCGTTTGCAGAGCTGGCCGATGCTAGCGAAATCGCCCTTTTTTCAGCGACCGATGCTTGGTCGAGGCGAAACGTCAAAAATCAGAGTTTCGGAAAGATTGAAAATCGATCCAGAAAAACGAAGGCGTACCCAAGAGGGCTAAATGAGTGAGGCTTCCATGAATACGACACAATTTAGCAGGCAAAAGCACAAATTAGCTAATATAAAATTCGTATACATTCGTGGCCGGTACAACGACCAGAAAAGGAAGAGAAATTTGCAAAATATCGATTATTTGAAAGTTTTGATTAAAAAATACGAGGTAAAGCTGGAGTTTTGCAAAAAAAGCTATCTAAGGAAAAATTTTTCTAAGGGCTTTTGTAGGGAAACTCTTAAAATTATAGATTTTTCCCGGCGTGAAAGCGCTAAAACACGGCCAATAAATAATGTCAAAAATTATTTAAGAGCAAGAATTCGAAAGACCAGATCTTTGTCTAGCAAAAAAGACACAGCCCGCAAAAAGACTCCTAAATCCTGCTGAGCCGGAATTGATCTAGCACCTGCCGGCCACCGCCGTCAGCATACAAATCCTGGTGCCATCAGCCATCAGCCAGCCCAGGCCCTAGAGAATCCAGAATGTACCTCGTGAATCTAGAGAATTCCGAAAACACACAAAATACCCGGAGGGGAACGGGATTTACAAATTTCGGGGGCGCAGCGCTGGGCACTAATCCCGTAAATATTGTAAGTACAAGCGGGCTTCATGTGAAACCAAAACTTTTATTACAAAGAACGCGAAAAGTACACCAGAATACTCGTGTACCAATTTCGAAATGATGGCACTTTTATTCGGTTTAAAGAGGCACCCTACTTTTGCATTTTGAATGAAAGTTTAAAACTAATCGAAACAGATTTATTAGTTGACTTCAAAGAGACCGATAAGGCATTATTGCGCTTGCGTTGCGCGTCGCGTTACGTACGGCGCTGCGCGCCGCGTTATGTACCGCGTTGCGTCCCGCGTTCAGAATCCATCCGAAATCTATGCCCGGAAAAAAATCAGCAAATGTTTTGCCGCTCCTTGTAGTGTTCGAGATGGCCCAGATCCCACGCGACGCTATACGTAAATTGTAGTCTGATGGGAATAGCCTTTGAAGCTGCGCTTGAAGATAAATTTGGAGGAGCAACACCTTTAGCTTCAAAAATATACTCAAAAAAATCAGGATTTTACAGCCGGAAATAAAGCGTTCCCTAGAGCACCCTGCAAAAAATTCTTATTTTTGTTATTTGCGACGAGTAGGAGAAAAAGGGTTCGTGCCTCTGCGGATTTTCTAAAAATAAGCAAAATTTGGAACTGACTGAAATTTGAATTCCCAGGAGGCTCTAATTTTCCTAATCCGCATAAATTCTTCAAGATCGGTAATAGGCTCTAGCGGCCCTCCATAAATGGCAATTTCAAAGAGCCTAGAAAGGGGATGCTCCCATTCAAAATGGCCATTTTCACGACACAAACAAAGCCAGCCGAAGCCGCTCGGCAAAATTTCGCGGTCGACAACAGGTTGTTTCGTTGATGCCCCGGCCGGGCCGGCCTGGGCGGAAACACCGGAAAAAATAATCGTGCGGTGAGATTCGGGTGGGGTGGTGGGATGTAGCTGGGAGCGGGCGGATCGCGATTGAAATCCCCTCTAATCCCAAATCAATCAAATACGTAAGCAAGCGCATGCCGCGCCCAAAAATGGAAAAAGCCGGAGCTGGTGGTTATTCTGAAAGTACAAAACGGGGGTTTGAACGGACTGACAAGACAGAAATACGGATTAGCTATGGTTTTTGTAGTTCGGCGACACGCGAAGCGCGGTCCGGTTAAGCGGCTGCAAAGGAAAAGCATAAAACTTGCGCAAAAGACCAATTAAAGGGGCCAAGAAGCAATAATGCGTGTGCTCAGCTATCGAGCCTGCTAGTCAAATACCTGAAGGGGAGTATCAGCAAATTTATGTCGTTGCGGAGAAACGACATAAATTGTGATAAACGCCTAATATATGAGAAAAATGAAATGGTTTGAAACTTAATTCGCGGTTTTGAAACGGCGGTCTTTACACGTCGTAATGCCCTGTATGGAGCTGGATTCATCAGCTATCTTGGGGATAAGCTAGTTAAAACAGCCAAAAAAATGAAACCGCTTGAAGCTTCCAGGAATTTTGTTAGCATTCTAAAAATCAAGCGCTTCAGGCTAGAAGTCCGAAACTAGGAGCGGGCGACGCATTCGCGTTGCGGTTGTATTTGATTATTCGCCGGGAATCAACGCTGATGGACTGGAACAGATTTCTTTGCCCTTTTAAGGAGATCGCACGACATTGCACAACGATATTCTGAATTGGAACAGACTAGAATCTAATAGACTAGGCTGCCTTGGTTTAATAGGCAAACCCTGGTCAAGATGTAAAAGCCTTGGCTGACATTGTCCTCTGTAATAAAACGTATTTTGATGAAAATCAGAGTATATAAAAGTTTTGAAGATGACTAGATATCTACAAGTCATTATGGGCAAAAAGGTACATGCTAGAAAGATCCGAAAGACTTGAAGAAATGGTTCCAGCAAAAAAAAGGTTTGTAAGGGAACTACTCGTTGTACTCTCCCCCTATTTGACAAACTGGTACTCAACGAGCTACCGAAAAAGCAAAACCCACGACCCAGACGCATCCCTGAGAAAATGAAAGCTATCAACACGATCACACCCTCGGCATGCGGGATCTCTTTTTGAAACTGGTTCGGCGATCCTGGAAGAGATTGGCGTCAAAGTTCGCCCCTCTGTGAAACCCATTCCATGCTCGCAAAAGGCCATATTGAAAATCGAAAACAGCGTTTGGCTTTTGGACACGGATGGGTGCAGGGTATGGGATGAGTCTAATTTGGAGAAAAAACAACAGCGAGAAGTCACAGAAATCGATGTAAGCGAAAAAATCGAAAATTAGCAATCGATAGAAATATTTAATTAACTTTTTCGTTCTGTAATAGAGTTTTGGCGCTTGCATTGTAAGCTTGCGAAGAAAAACTTCAGAATGGTCCTGGGAATTGGTCGACTCAATTTACGTTACGAAAAGCTGGAAAGACGAAAAGATCCGCTATAAACGGTGGGTCAGTTAACATCTAATTATTTTAGTATATTTAGGGTATTTTTTGTCCTCATAACAGTTAGAATTTTGTTTTAGCAACCCGAAAAAGAAGAATAAGTTAGAAGTAGGGCCACTGTTACACGAGGTGAAAATGGATTCAGGCTCCATTTTTTGCATCTGCTTTTCGGCATTGGATCATAGCCGTTATGCTAAATTAGTGCCAAAACTCAAGTAAATTAACCAGAAAACCTGCTTTAAAACGTATCCGTATGAAAAACTTAGCGAAATTTTTAGGTTTGAAATTTTCTAGAAAAATAAATTCAAGAAAAGACAAAAATAAATAAATCCAGAAAAAACATTGTTAGCGCAACTTGAGGCCACAATTTGCGTTCCGCGCGCCGAAATAAAGGCCCATACGCAAGATAGAGTTCGTTGAAGAAGTGAGCCTTATAAGCCGAATCTTTTTGATTTAAAATCGGTAGGCGCTAAACCTCAATAAGTACCTTGAAAACTTATCTCGAACAAAAAAATCCAGGAAAATTTTTGCGTGGACCCGCGGGCCTGGGCAGGGCGGCCGGGGTGACGCGTTCCCTGGGTGAAATGGAAGAGGGAAAGAAGCGAAAAGAGAGC